ATAGCCTCTTCTCACATGGAGAAGGTTTGAACATTAATCACCACGCTTGCTCAAGACGGGCAGGCGATTTTAAACTTATACATAATTGTGATATTATAAGTCCATGTTTTCTCCCGATGTTTTCCTTCATCTGTCAGAAATGTCTAAATACTCTTATTTAATATAAAATATAAAATAGATTCTAATGAATTCCAAAGTAAATGTAAATGTAAAAAGCTTTACTTTTAAATGAGATGTGTTCTACGAAATTTCGTTAAAAGAAATACATAACAATACAATAAATATAATCTTTTAAAATACTTGGAAAATGTTAAATTATATAAAATCATTACTGTATATATTAAACAACTAAGTATGTTTAAATTTTAATATAGACGATATTTTAAATTGATATTAGGTTTTTCTATTAGGTCACCTTTTCGTCATTTCAGCTTTTTTAGTAATTTTGGTATATTTAACAGAACTTGATTTATATTTATGATAAATTTCGTTCAACCTTAGAAATACCTTTTATAATAATAATGAGATCTAATTCTTTCGCGAGTATTGATTTAAATGAAACTAATATTGTTCGGATTATTACGCGTAAGATTGGCAATATTAAAATATGTTGAAATATAATGTTTCTTAATAACAAACTCACTCGTTTAAAGAAAAGCGTAGTTTAATTTATCACTAATAAAACATGAATTATTATATACCCACAGACAAGAGTTTTGAATAAGACGTCGAAACCGTCGGTTTTGAGTTTAAAATAATCTTTAAAGTAAGATAGAATCAAGAATAAAGTTATTAGAAACATCAGTACTATCAAAAATATGTTTGATTTTCAATATATAGTTATGAAACCTATTATAACAGTACATTATTGCCAAAATACCATCGTGGATACTGCTTGGTAAAAATATTTTTTTGTTATAATGAAAAAACTAACTGCTGCAAATTATACAGATGAAGTTGCTTAATAATATACAAAACCTGGATATTAGACACCTGGTGTCTAATTTCCAGCAATTGATTTTTATCAGAGCAGTTCTAAATTACTTATAATTTTGCCCAATAGCGAGACATTAGCACCTTAAGCATGCAAAAATAAAATCGTATTTTTTTCATTTGCATAAATATACGGTTGAATTATGCAGATTTACACTTTAATAGAATGTATATAAGGTTCATTTCTTTTAAAAAAAGCTTTTAAGATAACAAAAACGCATAAAATACTCAAAATATGTATTTCATTGATATACTTATAAAAAAATTATAATAATTGTAAATTACTAATACCTTAGCTTCTGTTTTGGTTTCTTGTTTCGTATATTTGTCTTAAATAGTAGAAAGTCAATTCTTAACTGGCTCTTAATTTACAGGAAGAAAATGTTATTATATTTTCTTTAATTATCTTTGTTCATTACGTTTAGTTAGATCTTATTCAATAGGAAGTCTTCTCATGATGACAAGGAAGTTAGGAGTATGTTTTTCATATATATAAGAAATGAGAATATGCCAAAAAAATTGAGAGGTTTTTCCAATAAAATAATGTTTAAATTTATATTAGGACAAGCAAAACCTTGAGAAAGTACAAGCGTGCAGGTAAATGATTATTTGCGTCCCTACAATTAGTATGCTAAAGGCTATTAAAAGCACTTTGTCATTGTAATTAGAAGCGACATTACTTGAGAATATATAATGTAAATATTAACATACAAACATACATACATAATAACATAGCTAATAGTTCTGTAATATATATGTACAGCCATATATCTTTATGTTACTTCAACGACACAAATTAGTTTTGTTTCATTTCTATACGACTTACGAAAAAATAATTATGCATGATTAAATACTAGCTATTGTCCTCGACTTCGTCTGCGTTGCTCTCAAAAGTAGAAATGTATAACTGACCGTGCGAAATCTTTCTCCTTAAAAACAGCAAATAAAAAAAATTTGGATTTATAATTTCTTTTCGATCGCATGAAAAGTATACTATGTCCTTTCCCTTGTTCTAATCTATCTCTCCTTAAATTTTCAGACGTTGGAATTTAAAACCGTTTAAATTATATATAGTCTAACTAACACGTTTTTTTATATATAAATTTATCCGAAATAAAACAAAAGTTACTAAATTAATATGCAACGATCAATACTGACAAAGAATACCAAAATATCAAACATTTCGTGTTCATTTACGTCAAAACAAGAGTATAATTAACATCTTAAAACGATTCTGGAACTACAAGCTGATCGATTGAATGCTGAAGTGAACTGAGTCATTGGCATTTATAATTACAAGAAGGATTTATCGAATTGACTGACATATATACAGAACTTTGTATATAAATAAATGAGTTAATATACAGGGTGACTGGTGAATTACTATCGATACTTGAGGACGTGATATTTGACGATCATATTATATGACAAAATAAAAATTAATATAACATAAATATTAATAAACTTCTAAGTAAAGTTAACCAAAAGTTATGTAATTAATTACGCATCGTGTGAACACCCTACAGATTAGATATACACACACACACACACGCGCGTGCGGCGGCGTGTTGTTGTATCAGCACGCCGCCGCACGCGTCCACACTTGGAACACTTGGAACGTGTCCACATTTTATTTATTTATACGGAAATTTGGTCAAAAATTAAGTACCTATTTTTTTACATAATTCGAATGAGAATCATGTACCGAGTATACTCCTTAAATATTGATAGTAATTCACCAGTCACCCTGTATAAGGAGATACGGATAGAAAAAACAGTTTGAGAATTGCTATTCGAACATAATTTGAGTTAAGATACTTAATTGAAATGAAATTAATATACATAGACATTAGATTTTCGAACCTGTTACTTATTAGATATGGTTTTACAGTCATATTAAAAACTGAGCTATTTTTCTCTAACTGAACTAATGCAATACATTGATTAGGAATTGTTTGGTTTCAGACTGTTATGATGTCAATTATCTTATGTGTGTTTTAATCTTTATATTATGTATAAAAGAAAGTTGTGTCGTGTTAGTTACTCTATAACTCAAGAACGGGTGTAGACATATGGTTGAAAATTGGTGGAGAGATAGATTAGAACGAGGAGACGGACTTAGGATACATTTCATGCGATTAAAAAAGAAAGAATAATAGTTTGATCAAATTCAAAATTTTCTCATCTACACTCTTTAAGGAGGAATAGCGTTCGGCCGATCAGCCATACTTTTTATATTCTGAAACTAAAACAGGCGAAGTCGTGTGCAAAAACTAGTATTAATCCAAACCTCCAAACATAGAAATCTTTATATATATAGCATATACATATATCGGTTTGAACATAGTCACGTCCTATTATTTATGTACCTATAATGTGAAAGTGTATGTATGTTAGTCTTTGCAATGGACCGTATATTTGAATGTAAACACAGTCCCAAGTAGTCTTCAAGCTGAGTGACAATTAGAAGAGAAAGTTATAGTTTGAAACCTTCAACGGAACATTGGAAAATGGAAAACAAACCTAAATCAAATAATATATAAAGTTTAAAATTACTTCTATCACAAAAACATGAAATTCTACTATAAATACTACAAATATTATAAAGATTTATCTTAAATAAGATTAAAACCACATCGGACTAACACTAATTGAAATATAAACATTTAATGTCACGGTCTTGTGTGTTGTTATACTAGTTTTTAAACCCGGTTCTTCTTGGCAAGAAGAAATAAATTTGATATAAGAAACAATTCATGTAATATATGTAAATCGGCATATTTGTTCTGTTAAATGAGTATTTTATTAAAGAAATTATAAATATGACTAAGTATATGTTATAATAGTTAAAATGGATGAACCTATTAATTAAGATAATGAAGTCAATATTAAAATGATTTATATAAATAAATCTATGAAGCTCATCGTAATAAACTCATCGTAATAGACTCACAAACTCATCGTAATAAAACTCATCGATAAAAACAATACAATTCATATAAAAATGTAAATAACACGTGTCTTTGTTGTAAGTGAATAAAATTAAACAGTGATGGCGCTTCAAACTGTTAAGGAATGCAATAATTCAGTCTGGTTTATTTTTGCTTAAAAAAAAACACTCTGTAAATCTCATTGAACACAAATAACACGGATTGATTATACAAAAAGAAGTCTAATAATAAATTTAAATAAATATACATCAATAACAACTATAGTATATATATTTCTGGATAAAGCCTTGAATATCACGTCTGGAATATATATACAAAAACGTATAGATTGGGTTTATTTCTGTCTGTGTTCAATATTAGTAAGTACGTGCGTGAAGCACTCGATTCTGGCGCCATCTATAAGGATACATCATAAACAAATCCAAATATTGAATCATAAACACACTGCTCAATTTCTCTTCCTACTTAGTATGGATACTCGAACACAAAGCTTATGTTGATAAATTGAGATAAATCTTTCATAAGTAATGCAAATATTAATTTATTTATAAAGCACATGTATTAATTGGATTTCAAATAAAGCGATCGTTTTAATTTTAACTTTCAATTAAAAACTTTGCATATAAAAATATTACTACAGTTAAATGATATAAAACGAAGACGATACTTAAAAGAGGTGTATGATTTTTTAATCTAAATATTTTTTATAGATTCTTTAATCGACTTTAATTATGACTGTATCAGATAAGTATAATAGTTTGAAAAAAAAAAAACTTACTTTTCGTATTATATACACTATTTTTACTATTTCTTGTATAATTTTTACCACGTTCTAGTCTAATAACTACTGTTTGAAATATAAGCGTATTTTAATTTCGCCTTAAATAATATTTGTTTACATTTATATGTATTTAATTAATTACTATACAATTTAGGGCTGTCATTAATCATATTTATTAGTATTGATGATTAAAAAACCATCAGTATATTTACAAAATTTATACAAAAAGGACTTTTCTTCTTTATAGAAGCTGTAATTTATATTTTTTCTTTCAGGGGCTCTCATTGGTGGTATCCTAGGTGGTATGGCGATGAGACTTGGAAGAAGGAGAGTACTCCTCTTCACAGCCCTACCTTATACCGTGGCGTGGCTTGCAACTGGACTATCGACCAGCGTGAATATGCTATCAATAACATCGTTCTGCGGCGGCATGCTGATTTGCTGCATAACCATGATTACCCAGGTAATATTTCAATATTATTATGGTAATCATTATTTTCGTGATTACGAGAATAATATTTGTAATATTGTGATTGAAAAACATGTTTGATGTCGCTGTTTTTTTTATCGTAACGGTGGATAGTGTATAGAATCAAACGGAGAATATTAGACTGGTTTTAAGAAATATTTAACTCAAAAATTTCGTTATTTAATAATTACTGTACTAATATATACCTTAATAAATATAATGCATCATTTTGTTCACATAAGAAGCTTAATAAGACCTTTTATTTGTGTCCAAGGTGTACTATTATCATAATTATTTAAATTTTATATCATACCTTATCTGTTAAATATTTTAAAAATCTAAATTATTTTATCATATAGATTGAGTTGGAATGAATGAAAAATAACTACACACAGGTCGTAAAATTGACGATGCATTGTTTTAGAATTGCTATAAAAAATATTGTGACATACTGTCATTAATAATGGAGAGTTTTACACAAGTCAGATTTTTATTATACAAATTTTCTCCTATTATTTAAGTACGTAGGGAACTGTAAAGGTAATGCATAGAAAAATGATTACATAACTATAGTTAAATGTATTTGTGATAAAATTTTATAGTTTTGAAGTGACATAAGCTGTTACGTAAAAGTCAAATGTGAATAATAAAATAAAACTATTTATGTACATACAATGTTTACTCGTAAAACGGTGATTTCGATACAATCTAGAATTATCTGATACCTTAGCTAGGTAATAATTGGTGGAGATTCTATAAAAGTAATATTTTTAACTTGTTTTTCACTGTGAATTGCATATTAAATTCCTTTAAGATATGTTTTTATCTTTTGATAATCCCTCAATAAGATTATGATTTGGTGATACTTAAACTTTCATAGGATAACCTTAACAATTGTAGTTTTTGTGCATTTGATATACTTTCATGTGCGTATAGTGACGAGCTGTTGATTTGAAATTAAAATCTGATACTCAAGTTTTATTTATTAGAAGGTAGGAAGGTACGTGTACATAAGCACGTCTTTTTGATATAAATATATCTTTCCATAAAAATATTCTTTAATTTTTGTGTGTGATGAGTTCGCTAAAAATAATAATCTAATTGACAGACATACTCAAAAACTTGAGATTTGATTTCAAAAGTATTTAGTTTTTAAGTAATACCTTGGAATATTTAAATTAATTATTAATTTATTGAAATATATATATATATATTAAATGCGTAATATAGTTGCAAGGCCTGTATTATAGTGCACAGGTAAGGTAAAATGTTGTTTAAAGTTTTCGGACTTCGATAGCAAGTTTTAAAGTTTCTGCAACCATAATACTGCACTTTACATATAGCCTTTATATATTATATATTACGCCTTAAAACATAGAGCTTCAGCATTTAAATATATATCTTGTAATAATATAATCATTATAAGATTTTATCTTAAATAATTTTTGTACATTTTGATGACAAATCATAGTACTTTAAGTAATGCATTCCCAAAGTGGATTGATGTCAGGCAGGCGGCCGGTCGTAAAAACAATTAGCCATAACTATTCACAACATGTTAGGCAGACCCTGGCTGAAGCTGGGAAATTGCTAGGTAGAAGAATTAAGTACATATGTAGCGATAATTAGATGTTTAATAATTATTAATATTTGTTTTATATTATCAAATTTTAGTGTCCTTCATTAGTTTTTGTTTTTGACGTAACCTAATTTTTATGCCATGTAAAGAAATGTAGGAAGTCAAATGATTTTTACATGTATAGGTATAATACCTAATACAAAAACACTACGGTTGGTTTATGTAAGAGCAAGCCATTAAAATATTGTTTAAATAAACTGTTGCTTTATTGCAAATATTGTTCACAATAGGTGACAATTAGCGCTTGTAAATGAGTCTTTATGAATACCTGTGTATAGTTTTCAAAGCAATACATAACACTACATTCAAAATCATAATCGAGACGAAACCTCTTAGCATTCAATGTATTCACCGTGCGGGTGTCGGGTCCATCGTTGCAGGGAGAGGAGCTTCAACAGTGACTGGGACTTGTGACCCAGGTGTAGGTTTAATATATATAGAGAGACGAAACCTCTCATCATTCAATGTATTCACGGTGCGTGTGTCGGGTCCATCGTTGTAGTGAGAGGAGCTTCAACAGTGACTGGGACTTGCGACCCAGGTGTAGGTTTAATATATATAGAGAGACGAAACCTCTCATCATTCAATGTATTCACGGTGCGTGTGTCGGGTCCATCGTTGTAGTGAGAGGAGCTTCAACAGTGACTGGGACTTGTGACCCAGGTGTAGGTTTAAGGGGCCCCTATCTAACGCATTAAACGCTCACCTCCACCGTACAAGCTCCTCTGTTTCTATTATTTAAGGAAATTCTCCGTATTCATTACATAAACATGTTTTTCTTGAAACGTATTCTTTTATTGTCCAAAGTGAATACATTCATTTAACTCATTTTGAAAAACACTAAATGTGAAGATGAAACAGATTTTTTTTATTATTTTCTCCGTATTATAACAGTAAAAGACTCGTGAGGTATTTAATTATTAAATATGCCTAAATTTTTAATGAAGTTTATACCAAAATAGTTGATAAATAACTTATGTAGTATCCTATTACGAGGAAGTCATTTTGCTAGTAGTTTTTTTAACAATATTACTATAATATATACAATATGACGTTGTTATATGATATTGGTAGTTTGATCTAGACTACACATTGCATCTGTTACATATTACGTAATTTTCATCTTTTCATCTAAATGTCAAATGTAAAACATAAATTGAGATTCTGGCGACCAACCAAAAGATATTTTCTTACGGTCTCTCATTAGACGTTACATTTAAAACGTTATTTGTGTTACAGTATATAAAACATTTTTTTTTTGTCCACAGGTTTACGTCACTGAAATAGCTGTGCCGGAAATTCGTGGTTGTTTGAGCTCGGTCTTGAAGATATTGAGCCAAATCGGTATTCTCATATCATTTTCTCTTGGCGCGTCGTTAAATTGGCACCAATTGGCCCTGGTTGTAGCCGCAGCGCCGGTACTTCTGTTCTTCGCGTTGCTATTTATCCCGGAGACTCCTTCAAGCCTGCTTCTTCGAGATAAAGATGAAGAGGCTGCGAGCGCTCTCCAATGGCTGCGTGGTCCGGATGCAGATATTCGCCAGGAACTAGCGACTATACGAACGAATATTCTAGCCAGCAAACATTACAATGATGGTAAAGCTGGTAAATTCAAAGTACTTTTGTCAAAACGTTTAACACGACCTGTTCTTATAACATGCGGGCTCATGTTCTTCCAAAGATTTACAGGGGCTCATGTATTTAACTTCTACGCTGTGCCAATGTTCAAAAAGACGTTCAGAATGATGAATCCTCACGGTGGTGCCATAGCTACAAGTGTAGTTCAACTGCTGGCATCTTGTTTGTCTGGACTTTTAATCGATCACGTCGGAAGATTGCCCTTACTAATGACAAGTGGAGTTATGATGTCAATAGCGCTAGCTGGCTTCGGTTCATACGCGTATTACGAAGATGTCTTCCGAAATTCAACAGATCCAATTCATGTTGAACCTGGTTCTTACGATTGGATACCTCTCCTTTGCGTCCTGACTTTCACTATAGCGTTTTCGTTGGGTATAAGTCCTATATCTTCGCTTCTTATTGGGGAACTATTTCCATTGGAATATAGGAGTACTGGTAGTGCATTGGCTACAAGTTTTAGCCACTTATGTGGTTTTGTAAACGTGAAAACTGCAGCCGATTTCCAGGATCACATAGGTCTTTATGGATTGTTCTGGCTGTATGCTGGTATATCAGTCCTTTGTTTGCTTTTCGTCGTACTCTTTGTACCAGAGACAAAGGGCCGTGAGATTGACGAAATGGACCCCAAATACGTTGAATCGTTGTGTATTAATCGATAGCATTGAACTGTATAGTAGTTTATACAATCATAGACTGAATTTCCTTGGAGATTAAAGCCTTTAACTTATCTAAGGAAACCTTCTCCAGTATTATTTAGTATAATATAGTGATACGACAGTGCCTTAATCTTAGAAAAACTTTTTCCATACATCACACTAAGGTTGAAAACGAGCTTACGCAAAATTATATATGATTTTTTTAGATCCTATTTATTAAAGTTTTAACATTTTATTTAAAATTAAACTAAATGATCTATACATACAATATCATCTTGAAAACCAAAAAAAATAATAAAATGTATATAGTGTAAATATTTCATTATTTAGAATACATATGTAATTTTATGACAACGTCACAAATCTATTTATTGTTAATAATATGTTTTAAAGTTAGTTTTCTTATTAAAATTACAAAAAAAAATTAAAATTGTGATTTTTTTATATCAGTATTGTTGAATTTTATAAAACAATGTGATTAATTGTGTTATTGTTGTTTTCGTTTATTGTATATGTAAAAGATTATCTATAGGATTTATGGATTCGTTTGAAAGTCTTATATAATGATTTTATTTATAAGAATATTGTCATTTATCTACAACCAATTTATTGCATTTGTTAGAAAATATAGAATAGATCAAATTTTAATTCGTTTAATAGTTGTGGTGCTAAAACGGTGCCTTTGGGAACTCCAAAATTTGTGTATATAACTAGTTCTAAGATTGTACATATTTATGTATGAATGTTTTAATTGCCATATATTTAAAGGTATTCCATATACCTACCTGTATTTTGTAAAATGTACTTAAAAAACAGTGATTTAAGTGTTTAATAAAAAATGTCCTTAATGTGATTCTTATTTTATTTTAAACAAAAAAAACCCAAAGAAATTTATTATTCGGTGCGAACTATGTGACAGACCGAACTATGTATGTATGTATGAATGTATGTATGTTACAGTGTATCTAAAAAACTTGTTCTTATGAAATGTAACACAAGCTATTGACTCCTGTCTAAGTAAATTTGTTTGTTTTTCAATTTGTTATGTTTGACACAATTTGAAAAATTTAATACTGAGGTATCTAGTATAAAAGAAACTATAAATTAAATAAAAGAAATCACTCAGCTAAAAAAGATTGAAGTTAAAAATATTACCCGTCTTGAATTCGCCAATTCTTTTCTAGTTAAAGCATTACAAATATTCTTATGGCGTTTCAAATTAATTTAAAACTTATATAGATGTGGATCAAAACACGATTTTGTATTTATTTATTTATTTATTTATTAAGGCAAACACAACATGTCACAATCACATACAGAATATTTCTTAAACATTAATAGTATCGAACAGATTGTAACCCTAAGGGTGCATGCAGCATGCACAACATGACGGGATTGCCAATTATTTTACAGGAGATAACTATATATTAGTACTAAACAAAAAAAAAAGACAAAAATAAAGTTAGGTACACGAATTAAATTTACAAGAAGAAAATAAATGGTATAATAAATAATTTTTGTTTGAAGTTACAAAAGATACAAAAGAAATATAATTGTTAATAATTACAATTTTTTAAATTTACAAAATTGCATTTTTAAAATAGACACTTTTCACAAAGATCGCCCGATTTCTGTTAAAAATATCAATTTCATGATTATTATTATTAGTTATTTCATTATAAAAGCGGCACATTCTGATAACCGGATTATAAAAAGAAGTATTGTTTTTAAAAATTATTAAATTTTTGGAAATAACTATATATGTATTTTGATTATATCTGAATTTATTCAATACAAAAGAAATGATATACAAATGCTTTATGCTTATAAAAATAGTATACACAGACAGAGTTGAGTGCTGGCACTAGTTTATTATAAATAATGATCGTAATGGCTACATGTTGTATAACATCATCAATAGCAAACCACCGATCACTCACTCTATTGTCAATGAAATAACAATATCCACTTTTGTTATTTTATTACAGAGTCATGGCCAAATAACAAAAGATTGAATTATAACAAATAATATTTTCACAAACATATTATATACATTCGTAGTTTTCCGTTTGATCATTATTTTTAATGTACCTATTACTTTAAGTCTTTCAATAGTTTCTCTGAAAGTATAGGATGGACAGTGGAGGTGAGCGTTTAACGCGTTAGATAGGGCCCCTTAAACCTACACCTGGGTCGCAAGTCACAGTCACTGTTGAAGCTCCTCTCACTACAACGATGGACCAGACACACGCACCGTGAATACATGGAATGATGAGAAGTTTCGTCTCATACTAGATGGAGTTCTTATCAAATTTTTAAGGTTGATAATAAAGAGTATCATTTTCTTTTAGAGCAATTTTCTCGTGTTTTAAAATTAATGTGGATTGCGCCTGTAAAATAAATAGAGCAAAACTTCAGAACGACATTATGAAAATGTAAATAAAGTAGGAGATACTATGTTTAGACTAAATAATAAAATTTTACTTCTCTTATGTTCTAAATATGCTGAAAAAATATGAAATTAACCAAAAGTTTTAAAGTAAATTGGTTCAAAGTGAAATAAAACCCTACTTTCGTCTCGCCTACCCTTGATCATAGTCATTTAGGAATTGATGTACCTACAATGAACAATGTAGCATAATTAAGAGCCTAACAAATGTGACAAACACAGATTTATTTAATTTGAATATGCAACTATTAAATTAGGTTATTCATGTATTAAAATGGCATATGTTAATTTTGACTGTTAAAAAAAACCATAATAATGTGTCATAAAATTAAAATTTGCATACCTACAATGTTAGTAATTAAAAAAATATATCATAGCTTTCTTCATACTAAATATATGAATTTAAGTCTTAATGTAGAATATTATATACTCCAACTCAAGCGAACCCGTAGTATGTATAAGTATTAATATTAATGATCCAGAAATAATATTCCAAAATGATTCAGGGTCTTAAAGTTCAATTAGCTGACGAATCTATTTAATGTTGTAGTACATCAATGTGAGTGCATTATATTAAGTTTCGTACACTTGAACTGAATTTATAACTTCGAGATGCGCCTCGAATGATGCCGCGCCACAGGGTATGTGAAAACAGTAGGTTAACAAAAAATATATGCGTATGTGTGTATGGGAATATTTCATTATCAGACGTCCAAGAAACATTTTATTGAAAATTGTTATTAACAAACCAAATCTTTAAGTAATGGATAAAATTTCAAACATACTTTATTTCGAAAAAAATAAACTGTAACGATTTTAATATATTATTATGTAAGCATTTATTACTGTAAAAAACTTACGTTGTCTCTAAAAAATCGCTATATTGGCATTTACATCAAGACACCACAAATTCAATGCAATATATTCGAACCAAAAGCTTTCTTTCACTTAAATCCGAAACACGAATTTAGTATAAAAAATAATACCTACCAATAAAATAAATGACAGAAATATAAATGTATTATATTATGCTACTAGTAAATACAATCTGTGTCAACATTTCACCAATAACAAGGCATAGGTAGTAAGTTTTTTCCACCTAACGAGTGGAAAACGTTCAATGCCCTCGGGCGCTTAGCGGGATCACACGAGATTGGATTGTTAAGATATATCTCGAGATACGCGATACTTTTATATATTATCTAGTTATGAAAACATTTATTTTTAATATACTAATTTTTAGTGATTGGTAAGCTATTCGTTTAATTAAGTTTCGTAATTAAATGTAACAAATACATACTAATGGTTTGTTAAAAAAGATACAAACATGTAACTATTGGACATAAAACGTAATAGATATTTTTTTTTACAAAAAGTTTTAAAATAAAGACAAAGTCGAATGTTGTTTATTATTTGTTTAGTTAAAAAAACTAGTTTTAAAAGAACTTACTCCTCCATTGGAGAGATTTATTTCAAAATATACTCTTTATATTTCAAAATATATTGTGTATCAAAAATACTTGTACTTCATTTTCTCATTTAGATAAAAAAAATGAATTAAAATTATCTTCAGATTAATCTTGAGTTAGACATCACGTGTACAATTTCAGAACGATCGATTGATGGAGTTACATTGAATGTGAGACAGCAATATTAAATATAATAGGTGTGAGCGAGACGGGCAAACAGGTGAAACAGAAATGTACTGAACAAATAGATGAAGTCTTTTGTAATTTGACACAGATTTGAATATGAAATATGAATTCAATATGAAATAAATTTACATTAAGATTGACTGATTTCCTTCTAAACAATATAAAAATATTATTATAATGATATTGTCTACTACTTCTTAAATATAATTTAATAAAAAAAGTGTGCGTTGGCCGGGAATCGAACCCGGATCAACTGCTTGGAAGGCAACTATGCTGACCATTACACCACCAACGCTCTTATTGAAATTAGATTTTTGTACTTAAATATTTGTCTAAAGATAGAAATATTATGTAATTATACATTTATTACATTTTAATACGTGCAAGAAACAATAATCACAGATACGAAGCGTTGCTTAAAACAAAAGTATTTCTCAATATTTGTGATTAAGGTAAAAGACAAATGTCTAAAAATAAGTCTTAGAGAATTTAATTACTTAGAGTTTTGCAGTGATATGCATTTAGTACATGCCTTTAAAGCTTTTTTTTGTATGAATTTTAGAAAATAAAATAACCTCAGAAATAGGTCACAGTTTGTATAAATATAAACACTATGTAAATTTATTATATATAATGAGAAGTTATAATATTTGAAGTCAGTGGTGGCCTAGTGGTTAAACGGTCCGCCTCTCATGCATGAGGGCGCGGGTTCGATCCTGGCAAGTACCAATGTGATTTTTCCGAGTCATATATACTTTCTAAGAGTATTTAGACATCACTGATTAATGCATTTCCAAAGAGGGTTGATGCCAGGCAGGCTGCCGGTCTTAAAAACAATAAGCCAAAACTATTCACAACATGTAAGGCAGACCCTGACTAAGGCTGGAAAATTGACAGGT